AGTTCGTCGAATTCCTGCGAGTGAGAGAGAAACATAGGCTATCTTCTACGATTCTACGATCGTAGGAGGAGTGCGATAACCTATATTTCTCTCTCACTCGCAGGAATTCGACGAGCTCTTACGGCTCAGTCTCTGATTATAGGGTCTCTACGTCGGCCTAATGCCTAACGCATTTTATTGAATAAAGCAGGAATAAAGACCTACGTCCACGATGCTAGAACTGGTCCAAGATCTAGTTCCGAGAAATGTGTAGCCAATCAACTTGTAACTTTTGTGGAATAGCTGCAAGATGATTGGCTTACAACACATCTTGCAGCTACTCCATAAAAGCTGTAAGTTGATTGGCTAGGCATTTCTCGAAACTAGAACCTGGACCAAGTTCCAGCATCGTGGACACAGGCCTTAATGTGCACACTGGAAAAAATAATCTTGCAACTATTTTCTAGGTACGAAAAAACAACTGAGATAAATTAATAGCCAATACTACGAAAGCGCATTTTGTATTTAATCGGTTTAAATAACAGAAACAGAATTTCTGTCCGAGCTGTTAGCGAATGTTGGGAAGAAAGTGGCGCCCATCCATTATAACGTTTGATTGTGATACATAAAGTGTTGTGTGTTCTTTACAAAGATTGTTCGAGTCATGGTACCGAAATTCATTTTTATCCAAGGTGAATGATTAATATTTAATCATAAAACCTAAACTTTCTAGAAGGTATATTGCTAGAATGTTGCTACTATAAATTTTGCAGACTACAAACAACTTTCCAACAGATCTATGAAACAGCAAAGTATTATTGCGACATTGAAAAATTTACCTGCGTTAGTAAAATGTCTTTTTGAGTGCAGCGCGACTCCAGAGCCTCGCTCGGTGTGGTTTGAACAGCATAGACACGACGACGTTAAACGTAGAAATGACTTTCGAAGTGAGGTCTTTATCTGCGCGTACCTCCACAGCCCGATGCGATAAGGAAATAAATATTGCGGGGATTCCACGCTGTTTGGCCTAGTCTTGGTCGAGCTGCCACGTGTCGCTAAATTCAGAAGGTAGAATTTCTTTCTCACTCTAAAAATCAATCAGTGAGTTATCACTGAACACCGTGAGTAGTCACTGATTTACAGTTATAAGTGTACCTGCGATTTTCAGTGGTACACTTATAACTGCACATCAGTGACTATTCACTGTTTTCAGTGATAATTCGCTGATTGACTTTTAGAGAGTAAAACTGGAGTAAAACTACTGCCGTGAAGTGAAATATTTACTATATTGAGGTAAACACTCACCCCAGTAGTGTGAATATTTCACTCTATGGCGGTATTTACACTCCAGAAACTTTACTTTCTAAAAGTGTCAAGATTATCACTGAAAACCGATTTACAGTTATGTATGCCACTGAAAATCGCAGTATACTTCTTGGAGTAAAACTACTGCCACGGAGTGAAATATTCACTATACAAGGTGTACCTAAACTGGCGGAAAATATTTAAATGGCAAGTACTTTGTAGCATTTCAAGACGAAAATTCTAATACGAAAATGTCGAGGCTATAATAGTTTTCAAATGGGAAGAGTTTAAAGATCTCGAATAACGAGGCTAGACTTCGCGGGTTCTTTACTCTCTAAAAGTCAATCAGTGGATTATCACTGAAAACCATGAATGGCCACTGATTTACAGTTATAAGTATACCACTGCTATTTTTAGCGGTATACTTGTAATCGCAAATCAGTGACTATTCGCGGTTATCAGTGATAATCCACTGATTAACTTTCATTTACTGTGTTTTTACTGATTGATTTTTAAAGAGTGGAGGAAACGATTTTGCTCTAGGAATGCATATACAAGTTTTAACGTGTAACGGGATGCAAAATGTTGCGTCGTTAATTACTAATATGTATCAAAATAAATTAATAATAATTAGTTAGGCATAACTGCGGGTTATTTCGCACCCTGCAAGTCCTGCAGCCAGGAGCAATTAATATAAATCGGTGTCCGGGTAGCAACGAAATCCATACGTAAATATAATTCATCTGTATGAACATTCCATAGAAGATAGACCCAGCATGCCCATTCATTCCCTTAAGAAAAGTTGTCACCAACATAACAGACAGAGAGGCAAAATAGAGTGGCCGCAGGGGGCATGAGAGGGAGCGAGAGACAAAATATTTGTCTTGGGCAAACAATGTTTAGTCTCTCGCTCCCTCTCATGCCTCCTGCGGCCACTCTATTTTGCCTCTCTGTCTGTTATGTGCGTGACACGTATACTGGGTCTATCTTCTATGTCTATGGAACATGTCTATGTCTACGCTCGCTGTTACATGCGGATTGTCAAGGTGAAACTTTAACAAACGATGCGAACACGTGTCCGTGAATATCTTGACTTGGTATCGCCTTGAGAAAATGCATCCGGAATTCAAATTCTATACCAGACCGACACAGGAAGTCGTTTGTTAAATGTGTTGAAAGCACAGATAACACGTCAGAATAACTTTCATTCATGAAAAGTACCCATTCGCCCTCCCTCGACACGTTCCTTCCACCTGAAAGAAAGCGAGTCCCCCCCGCTCCTTCTTCCCGAGACGACAAGCCGGTCGACTACATCTAGCGACAAGTGGAACCTGATTAGGAGCAGGGGCGAACATTTCGTACCGATTCGAGCGCTTCGTACCCTAGGAACGAATCCGTCGAAATCGTGTGTGGGACGAACGGAATGCCGGGCGACGCGTCCGCAGCCTCGAGCGATAGAATTGCAAGCAAACATATGACATCGAGTTCATCGATAGCCGTGAAGTGCTTCTTTGACGGCGAGAGGACCGGACCGGCCGAGGCGGGAAGATCGGAGCGCCCGGCCGCGTCCATCTGACAAGCGCGACTCGCGATCAGCTGATCGGGCCGACCCACCGACTGACTGACCCACTGACTCAGCACGCGCGAGTACGTTTGGTGAACCGCGCGCGGGCCGCGCGACCAGCGCGATCGATGGGGTTCACGTAGCACGGCGGCGGACTGATCTCCACCATGCCCGCACGCGGGAATTATCGCGGGATTATCGCGGTTCTCGCCGCGCGCGCGAGAGGAACTCGGCGCGGCCGCCCCCTCCGGCCTTAATCGCGACGACTGGTGCCGCGTTGTGACGTGTCGTTGACGCAGGAACCGACGATAAGCGCGGCCGGTGGCCGTGACATGCGCCCGGCAACGCGAGAACCTCCGCCCCGCGTGTCTTAGCTCTCCCGCCCCTTTTACCACACTCCGCCGTCCCTTCTTTTTCCTCTCTAGGATTCTTAGACCGGTATTCATAGTGGGATCAATTATATTCAAGACCGTCTTGAATTTATCTAAAGATGCTGTATGGAACATTTGATTGGTTGCGGAGTATCTAGAGATGATCTTAAGACGGTCTTGAATATAAGATTTGACTATGAATACCGGTCTTAGACCGGTCGGATCTTATATTGTTCAAGACCGTCTTGAGTTTATCTAAAGATGCTGTGTGGAACATATCATTGGCTACGGAGTGTCTAAAGATGGTCCTAAGACCCCAGCGTGAAATGGCTCGTCGATCGACGTCGAATCGACGTCGTTTCGACGAATCATTTCTCACTGGGACGGTCTTGAATATAAGATTTGTAAACGCCGTCCTAGATTGCGGAGTTTTTCGATTCCCGATCTGCGGGGCCACGGGTTGCGCGTTTGAGGTTTCTTTTACGCTTCGCTGTTCCAAATTACGCTTCCTACACATTTCGTTTACGCTTGTGTCACTCTTCCCTTACGTTCGATTTACGCTCCAATTTTTATTTTCATCAGGGTCAACGTATAATTTTACGTACAAATATCTATCAACTCACGTACAAAAATGGACAACGCAAGCAAAATTCTATCCAAGTGCGTCATAATGCCAGATGTTTGCGCGCAAAATGTCTTCTGGGTTTTCTCCATGTAGACAATGTTAATTTTACAAATTATACGTCAGAATGCGTAGCGCAGACACCGGAGTGGAAATTTTATCAGAAAATGCGTAATGAAATAGTCCCGAAAGAGTAAAAATGGACGTAAGAGCGCGCAAAACAGTCTCTCGAAACGATACCGAGTAAAACGCCGGCGTGGCCGCTCTTCAGGTTTCTCTCTGCAGTTACCGAGAACAGATCTAGGGTATTGCGTTCCGAAATGCCGACAGCACTGGACATCTACAGTGCGCATGACGCGAACTGTAGCGCCTGCAGTGTATCGTACGCGCGTGGAATCAGATGATGATGATGATGGTGTGATACTTTGACAACCGCAGCGCACGCTTGTCGTGTTACTCCGGTTTTAACGCGGGCTGAGAACGTCACGGGAAAACGACGGAAAGATGTCGAGCGTGGACTGGGAGGAGGTCAAGCGACTGGCGGCCGATTTTCAGAAGGCGCAGCTCAGCTCGACCCTGCAAAAGTGAGACCTTCGCGCCGCGATCTGATTAACCTAATCTCGCTTCCTTGCTCCGACGATATTAAATCCCCCGACAGCCGTAGGGAAATGAGAATAATGACGTGGCATCTCTTGGGCCTGCGACTAAATCGTGCCTCGAATCAACAAAATGAAACTCTTGTCGCTCGACTCGTGTATTCCCCACGTATTTTTGCACTCTGTGGCTCGCGGGAGCTCGAGATAAGTTTAAGCATATGGTGTTAGCGGTAGGCACGTTGTCGAGTATCTTCCCGTTTGATGCGAAGGCGATATGGCTTGAAGACCAGTTTTGATATGTTTTATTACTCCGATACGAATAGTCGAGTTTTTGTTATTAAAGATTTTAACATGTATTTTTCATTCCTCTCACATCACGTTCTATATTCCCTGTGGACTTTGAAATTCGAAAGTACTTGAAAGCTGATTAACTGCTAATTAATGGCGACCTAATTTATTATGTCGTTTTATTGTATCATCAGAGTTTAGCGGTTCAATTAAATGCATATTGCAGGCTCTCCGAGCGAAATTGCATAGAGATCATAACGACGCTGGCGGAGAGCAAGTTTCTGGACATTATATTCACCAATGACGGCAAAGAATACGTCACGCCCCAGCACCTTGGGAAGGAGGTGAAAGACGAGCTGTACGTTCACGGTGGGAAGGTCAGTTTGACCGACCTGGCGCAAATCCTCAATGTCAACCTGTCGCAAGTGACCAGGGCGGTGGCCGAGCTCGAGAGGCACAACAAGGGACTGAAGGTGATACTGGGGCAACTGATCGATAAGAGTTACATCAGCAAGGTCGCGGAGGAGATAAACGACAAGCTCGTGCAGCACGGCTGCATCAACGTGGCCGAGCTAACGCTCACTTACAATCTGCCGGCCGACTTTTTGCAATCGGTCGTCGAGAAGCAACTCGGGAGGATCGTGCACGCCACCCAGGACTCCCAGGATCTCAAGGTCTTTTACACCGAGAGCTTCATCGCCAGAAATAAGGCGAAGATCAAAGGAGCCTTGTCTGCCGTCACGAAGCCCACGCCGCTGTCCGCGATATTGGGGCAGTGCGGCGTGCCGGAAAGAATATTCTTCTGTGAGTACGGAAGAACAGTGAAATAAAATCTCAGATGTCCACATAAATTACTATTGTTTTCCATAATTAAATTACATTAGGCATCTAAGCACTGAAGTCCAATTTATCTAAAGCCATTACTTGGCATTCGTTACGTAATATTCAGACTCTCTGCTTACTTATTTAACTTGTTTCGTAGCAATTCTGGATAGTCTGCAAGAGGTGAAACAAGTGCCAGGAGTTGTGACCGGGAAACAGAGTGGAAACAGCATTTACATACCTACTATATACTCTAAGAGCCAAAATGAATGGGTCGAAAACTTTTACAAGCAGAATGGATACTTGGGTAAGGTGTGCGATTTACAGGAAATCCCCGTGTAGCATGATTTAATCTGTTCTCGTCTTACAGAATATGACGCCCTTGCGAGACTCGGGATATCGGATCCGTCGGGCTTTGTGAAACGTCACTTTCCGAACGAGAGCATGGTCTTTCTAAAGTCAGTGGCCGTAGGAACGGTAGTAACGGATCAAGTCGACGCAAACATCGAGGAGGTCGTTGCGACCGGTTCCTTCGTTGACCTCTACCCCCTGTTGCCGTCTGTATTTAGCGACGAAGACGCGGAACTTCTTCTGAAATTAGCTACGAAGAAGACGAGGGTCCACGTGCATATATTCGCGAAGACAGTTGTGGTCTCCGAGGCATTTTTACAGACCTTAGCCAAGTCTCTAGAAACCGTAGCGGAGCAAAAGGCACAGGACATGGTAGCCAGCGGGAAGTGGATCCAGTCTGTCGCCGAAAATAAATTGAAATCTAAATCCGCGGATCTGATAATCGACGGTAAAATGAGCAAAAAGGAGGAACGAAGGAAAAAGGCAGCGGCTGGTAAAGCGGGCGGCGGTAACCAAGGTAGAGAAACCAAGACGAAGTCCACGAAGAAGAAGTATCTTCAGGGAAAGGCGCAGGAAAATGACTCGGACGAGGACGACGACGCGAGGCAGACGACGGTCGGAAGAGGCGAGATTACGTTGATATCCGTGGAAGACGTGAGAGCGGAAGTTATGAAGGACGAGAACGTGTCCGTTATCGAGGAGATGGCGGACGAGTTGGCGTGCTACTTGCAACCGAAACTGAACAAGTCCGCGTTGTCACTGGCGGAGCAGTTGGCGCAATGTAACAGGACCACGAACCTAAGCGAGATCGGTGAACGCCTGAATATTCTAATAACGAACATCCGAGTATTCGACAAGGGTATCAAACATCTGGACAAGGCGGATCAAGTCGCGCTGACCAAATACCTGCTCAAGTCTCTAGGGATCGATTTCGTAACGAGTATATTCAAACTGGCCGCTCAGCAGAATATGCTGCAAGTAGCGGAAAATCTCACGACGGAGACGAGGCAAAGACTGCTGCTCGAGTTGCCCGCGGATGTCGGGGAGCCGTTGACCGCCATCCATAAGACGGTGATGGGGGACTCGGTGGACGAGTTTCTCAACAGCGTCGACGGAGCGATGGCGGCCTGCTGTCTGGTCCTGAAGAAGCACGACAAGAAGAAGGAGCGGCCGCAGGTGCACGCTCACAGAGAGGCTCTGCTGGAGGAGCTCAACTCCACGCAAGATCCCGCGTTGGCGTTGCACCTAGTTACGAGCGTGCTTTTCACCGCTGTCACGCAGAACGCCTTACACATGTCCGGCCGACACGTAACAACCGTTCTCGCGTTCCTTCGGGAGCAGCTGGAGCCCAATACAATGTCGACTCTCACCGGATACCACGGTACGCGACGATTTGCCAGAATGTCCTCACAAAATTCCACTTCTTTTAAAGCATGATTAATTAAAAGAAACTGTCGCCTCCTTTCAGATTTGGTGCTCAATTTGCTGAGCGCTTCTACCAGAAACGAAAAAACGGAAGCCTCCTCGGCCTTGGAGGAAGGACTGGTGCACATAAAAAACATTGCCAACAATTTCAAGCAGCACGTGAAAGTGGACAAATCCTGAAAGGGATCACACAAACGATTGTATAATACGAACGATGTAATATAGATCCATTTTATGTAAAAGTATTTGTTATATAATGCCACTTAACATTGCACTTTATAATAAAATATACGATATGCATATTTACAATTAAGAAAACTCAGACCGTGACCTAATTTATATACACAACTGTGACGCTCTCGCTGCGATACTTAAATAAATGCGTTCGCTTTCCTAAGCGACCTCTCGATGATCGTCAACAGTTTCTCGCCAGCTCGCTAATAAATACCAATGCAATTGATGCTAAGCGACAGACTTACCTACGTATGTACATATGTATAACTTTAAGAGAACCGCTCGACCGCCGTTTCCTACGTGTACGTGTATCACAAGCGCGGCATTCGTAACGACGGGTTACAGGGTCGCTAGGATACGCGTGAATCCGACGGACACCGGCACCACGGTCTGCCCGATGCCCCAGAACAGCGCGTACAAGGGCGGCATCTGGTAGCCGGAGGCCCTGTACACGAAGGCGACCGCCGCCGAGCTGACGACGCCCGAGGTGAGCGGCAGCAGCACGCCCATTATTATGATGAGCAGCGGGAAGAACCTGCAAACGCACACAAACATCGTGAATCGGGCGGTCGGGTCTCGAGCGGACCGCCTCGCCGTCCGGAGCTCACGTACTTGCCGTATTTGTGCTGTCGCAGAGTGGCGAAGCAGATCGCGCCGGCGATCGTGTGCACGAATATCGAGGAGAACAGGGCCCAGAGAAATATCTGATACCACATCTCTGAAAAGTGGAGGGACACGGATGAGCCGCGCTAATCCAATTTAGATTGGGCGAGAGACTTCGATCGAGTTAATTGGCGAGCAGCTCGCGCGGTGTTTTCGGTTAAATGGAGCTATATCGGTATCGTTAACCCACGAAAAGCTGTGTCTTCGTCGAAGACCGTCTTGGCTGTCGACGGCAAGTTACAGACTCCCCGTACAGAGCTCGGTGCACGGCGAGCCGGACGCAAGTGGAGAGCCTGTTGACGGGAATTGATCGCCAATCAAGTCGATCGGAGCCTGGCGCAGCTCGCTCGCCCGCGATCGTGAACAGACGAATGCATTCGAGCGACTGTTTACCTGCGAACGATTTCAAAGGCATGTAAAACGCGTTGCCCGAATTGACGTTTTGCAACGCCATTTGCGACCGTGGCAGATTCACGTCCGTTTGCGTATCCATTCGGGCGTCGATGAGAGAAAGAAAGAGACTCGGGGGGGTACAGTTCTTCCCTGGGGCGCGAGTCCCTTCGTTAATCACTCGCTTCCCTCGGCGCCAGTTCGGCAGTCGTCGGCGACGAGAGGTTATGTCAGGGCCATCGTTGGGACGTTACGTCCGGAATTATTGACCGACGGCGGAATCATCGCGGCTGCGAGAGGCGAGGGACGGCCAGGACTCGTGCGTGCGGATGCTCATTCTCGTTGAGGCGCGTGGCAGCGTTCGAAAGGAGACCCGAGCGTCAATACGGAGCTGTCAAACCCGACGTCGCTCATGCTCGATCGGTATCGGTGGAGAACAACTGAGCGCTATTCGCGCCGCCTGCACTTTTTGCACTCGGTAACTTCTCTGTACCGATCGTTTGAATCGTTTGAACGTGGAGCAACTTTTTACGCTCTAATATCCTTCATCGGATTATCTCTCGAGGATATCTTCTTAATTGTCCCCCTTAGAAAGAGATAAAGGATGTTAACCGAAGGATAAAGAGTCACGCGACGGTTGGAATCAATCGGGTGTACACGAAAATGTTGGAATTACAAAATTTAATTTGTAAATCATCAATGCAAAAGGAGAAGACACAATTAAGGGACTTGGAGATATTAATATCTTGCTTCAAGTTAACGTTGATAACTTTTTCAACTATTAATAAATTAAAATCTATATTTTTTCGTTAGATACAAAATTCGTGTTGCTATAACATCAGCATAAATTAGTATTTACGCGTGCTCTATCATCATATTGCACACCATCTGTATGCACAACTGGTGCATAAATTACTCAAGTATTTCTCATGAGCTTGAGCCTCAAGGATTATGAACAGCTTTTTATTTCACACTTTACGTTTTAGTCCGGTATTCTTAGGCAGATCTTATATTCAAGACCATCGTGAATTTATCCAAGATGCTGAATGGAACATTTTTTATTGACTACGGAGTGTCTAAAGATGATGTTAAGACGATCTTGAACATAAGATTTGACTATGAATATTGGCCTTAGTCAATTAATCTGATGTTAATCGCGAATTCGGTTGTTTGCACCAGTGTGCACTGGATTCGCCATTAATTTCTAAGAAACTTGCAAAAATATTATCCTCTTAACTCGCTTCTATACTTCTACGTTAGACAATTGTAGCTTCAAAAGCTCCTTAAAAAAGCATATTTCATGCTCAAGTTTCTTATTCTTGCACAACATAAACTTATGTCGTTTGTTAATCGCATCGATATATTTTTGAAATCTTAACCATGCATTTTCGTTTATGAAATCCTCTTTTCTCACGATTCCTAAGATATTGTTTTGATATCGTTGCTTGTTTAGCGATTTCAAGGTGCAATTTTTAATTTTCCTAAAAAAAAACATGAAAATATATAAAATGTATAAAAATATGTATGTTTTTATACGCAAAATATATACAGGGTGTCTCATTTTAAATATCTCCCTTAAATATTTAGGATGATATTTGCATGGATCATTTAAAATGAGACACCCTGTATATTTGGTTTTCGAAATAAATTGTTATCAAACAATGAGACATTACCTCCCCTCTGCTTGCTTAGCAGTAGAGCATACCGTTGCTTTAGCATCGAGAGTTCTTTTACTCATCGGATCATCGATACTTGCCGATGTACTTGATACATCAACTTGCAACCTATTATCACAAAATCCATGTTAAATAATACTATTTTCATGCTTTAAATTAACATGAAGGTCCAGTTTCACCAACGTTGTTTAACTTTAAGCTTAGTTTAATTTGTTCTTTGTCTCTTTCCAACTGTTACTTTAAAAACAGACAGATATGAATTAAACTAAGATTAAAGTTGAGCGACGTTCGGTGAAACTGGGCCCCAAGAGATTCGAAAAATGAAAATGCAAGAAAATTATCCGTCGATTAACGACACAAGAAAAATCATTATTAAGAAAAACATCGTACCGTTCGTTATTCTTATTCTCCGTTGAAATATCTTCAGTGTCGGACGTGAAACTCTTAACGGGCTCTAATTTCGCCCGCGGTGTAATATGTACACTGGGAACCGCGGAGGGCTTTAATCTTTTCCTTATTAAATAGACATTGTCGCAGTTTTTATAATCCTCCGCCTTAAAGTGCTTGCTGCACACTTGCGCGGAACGATACATGCTCTTCCGTATAGCCTCGCACCACTTCAACTTCAAATCCTCGTTCGTCGGAAACCTGAAAATTGCAAACATAAGCAAACCTCCACTTCTTCACGGATAACGTATCGACATCGGCTCGTATTCGGAGTCCGATTTATCGATAAAAACGCCTGTAAAAGTGACTCGGAGCCAATGAGAAGGCTCCCAGCTCTGTCAGAACAGATTTCGTCAAATGCCCACTGCAAAATTTGAAGGCAAAAAGATTGCAGATTTCGTACAGGAACTGACATATTCAACGTGTTGCCAGCGTGTCAGCAGAAATACAACAAAATCTGCTCACATAACTGGACATGTTCGGTTTCTGCCGACAATCTGTTGACAGCGTACGTTTCAGGCCTGGTCTACTACTAATGAGTCGTTAGGCAGAAGTCAGAACTATACAGAGCTCTGTGTGTCAATCCTTTTTCTTTCCGGGTGAATGAAAAAGGACCGACATACAGTTCAGGCGGTCAATTCTGTATCTTACGCTACTAGTGAAAATGTTAGGAGTAGCTTTGTCTCCTTCAAGCTTTCCTCTTATAAAGAGACAACGGGACAATTTGAAATTGTGTCACGTAGTCTCTGTATACCTGTGAAACGAGTAGTCGAGGTCCCTCGAAGATCCCTTTTCCACTCCGCAAACGCAACAATTCGTAACCATTTTGCGTAGAGATATTTTTCGACAAGAGTTGAGATCAATGGATAAGGAGACGCAGAAAACGTCACCTTCGACATAGGATGTGTTCGAAAATGGATTCAGTTACTGCCAGTGAAAACAGTATAGTTGGTAGCAATGAAAATTACTGGTGCTGCGTTTTTCGCACGCCAGTAAAGTCAGTAAGGCTGGGTCTACATTTGGATGTCGTAAGTCGTGTCGGAAGGAATTGACCAATCACAGTTCATTATTCGACTTACGACATCCAATGTAAACCCAG